CTTTCAGCAATTTGCATCCACACACGCGTTTTCGACTGGAAATGCAGTTTTCTAGTACTTTTCTGTTGCCCTCTTGTGGTTTCCTCACTTTTCTGCATCAACACTTCTCACCTCCAAAGTAAAACATGACTATTTTGCTGCTTTACATGGCAGAGTATAAAAGCATGTCACCATGTCTTTATAGGAACCTGCATTTAACACGATAGTTAACAAGGGCAGTGCAAAAAGTACTTGATAACACTGGGAGATGATTAAAACACTTTCAACACAGATGTTTCTGCAGCAGACGAACTGGTTCTCCACCTCTCAAGATCTATGAAGAACCAAGAGAAAGTTAAATAAATGTATTTTTATAAAGACATGAGGAAACACCAGACTGAGCTAAACAAGCACCTGCACCTCAGTCTTCTTGTATTGGTGAAACCTGAAGCTTTGGGTCAGTGATGAGCCCCAGCACTGGTCCACACAATTACTGGGGAACTGGTTTCATTAAGACCATCTGGACGTTTCCTGTGAAGCAAAACAGTGTTCAGTCAAGAAGCTACCAAGTGACACAAGAGTAGTGCAACGAGAATTTTGACTGGCTTAAACCCAAGATGACAAATGTCTGAGGTTTACCTATAACCCTGCCATGAAGCGTCACAGCAGGGCCTCAAACAGCCCCATGTCTCTCTAGCAAACACTACAGGAAAGGACAGAGCCACTGCAGGCTCGGCCTCGCTGGAAACGTCTGCATAATGAAGAAAATACAGAAGAAAATCTCCCTGCAGTTTACGGCGCATATGCTAACAAGTCAAGTTGTTGCTGTCAAATAATTTAACAAAGCTTCAGGCAAGCTAGGATTATTGTATCATAGGCTGTAAGGCTGCAGAGAATTACTTTCAGCATCAGTACATTTGACAGTTATTTTTGCATGCTCTCAGAAAACTGGTAAACACTCATACATATCGACTGATAGCATTTTGAATTTACCATCAAATGAAAACCAGCAAAGCTGCTCATCTTTATACTTGAGAGACTGGTATCTGTCAGAAACGGCGCGCGTAGTGCGGCCGAAAAGTGTTTTTGTGAAATCTATTAAATGGCCAGACGAGGAAGTGTTTAAACAAAACCCGTCTCTTTATTAAGAGAACTAAAACTAAACCAAAAAACCATAGGGGCCACTCGAGAAGTTAATCCAGCCATGTGTCTTTCATATACCCATTCACTACATTCACATGGGCTACAAGTAATAATCATCAGTTAAAACCGGTCATACCTTTCCACCTGTACTCTGGGCGTTCAACACAGTCTTCAGACTAGACAACAAAGCAGAAAATAAATAACAGTTGTTAAAAACTGCAGAAATACAGCACCTACATTTCAACCATTCTAACAGTTTAATTAACGTTTCCTTGATAAATCCGCCATGCTGTCATACTGTAAGTATTTGCTTCTATAATATTTTCTGTAGTGATAAACGTTAGATATCTTATGATCTAAGTTAGATAGAAACTGAGTCATTTCACGTACCTTTGTAATTCAGTTGGAGTAGAATGTTGTCAGCTGAAATGAACAAACACAAACCCTTAATGGATCAGTACATGTAAAGAAACATCATGTTTTTTTCACTTACTTGTAGTGGTGTTCAGCCAGCCAGATAGATTTGGTTTTATTTGAGGTATCAGTCTCAGAGATTTCTACCATCACCTTAATACAACAGAGGTGAATGCAGTGTTGTGGTGTTTACAACACTGAAAATATAAAAATGAAAAGTGCTGTCATATTTAAAGTCATCCATGCATCTTTCACCAGCCATCTGGTGTGCAATGAGGAGTGTGTGGAAGCAGTGAAGTTACTGGTGGAACACGGGGCCAGCATCTACATTGAGAATAAGGAGAAGAAGACACCCATCCAGATAACCACAAAGCCAGTTCTCCAGTTACTTTGAAATACAATACTTCATTGGATTGTGGAGGGGTGATGCATTTACTGGTCTACAGTACAGGTTATGTTCCAGCTCGAATCCTGACCATCACCAGGTTGCGGGTATAGGAATTCTCTTCCCAGTCAACCCTCTGTGAGCAGCCTGGTGTGACACATGCAGATGTGTAATTGTTTGAAAGTTAGACAGTGTCAGGGAGGGAAGTTGAATGGAACTGTATCCTTATCAGCTCTTCAGGTGGGGTCTTTGAAGCTGTGCACACATTAGCTGTCCAGAAACACACTGCACTAAGCTCAGTCTGTCCAACACTGCAGCCTGTTTCCCTGTGAAGTTTTAATTGATGCAGCAGTTACTAAATAAAAATATGCTGAGCCTGTTAATAAAGTATGTTTGGGATATAGTTGTTTGTCATACAGATATTTGCTGCATCTTTTGACCTGTTGCCAATAAAAATGTTCCCTCTGAATATATTATTTATAGACAGACCTATTAGCTCACACCAATGGTTTGAATGTACCGTGTTGTAAATGTCTCCAACTTATTGTTGTTCATGTGCCGAACAGTGATGTACAGTAGTAGGCATATGAGGACAGTTTGCAGAAATGTGAACTCCTGTGGACTCAAACAGCTCATAAGCAGATGCTCCAGTGTAAGAGCATGTGTGCATCTACAGAACAGCTGCTTGGAAGCCAGAATTGTCAAGTGGCCCCAGCTTGTGATTTTTGTTTTAACAACTACTTCCAGTAAGAATTAGTTAATTGGTAGCTTGAAAAGCTACAGTATGCTTTAAATGTAGCTTCCCCAACCCCCTCAGTGATCCTGTTCTAGTTGTTTGTTGAAGGTTTGGATTACTTTTAAAGCATGTCTCAGTTTTTCCCCTTTGAGCCTGCATAAGATTCTCAAGCAAGGCACTTGTGACTGTCCGAGGCTCCAAATTAATAGATTAGGTCTAAATAATGAAAAACGTTATAGACATGTTTTCTTCAGTTTTTGATTATAGTATTAGTTAATATAAAAGGTAAGTAACATTTTTAATGTTGTAATTAGCTAAGATGAAGCTGATTCCATAGGCATTTTATGGTTAGAGGATTGCATAGCCATATTATACCTTTTTAATTTAAAGTACACTGTCAAACATGATCTAGGAGTACATTTTGGCAATTTTAAATCAACTTAGGAAGTCTAAGTCTCCACGCGACGGGGAGCAGAGCTCGGCGCTCTCTCTAGCCTTTCTCACGCGGTCCCGGTGACCCTCGTCTAGACATCTAGATATCACGAGCTCCGTCTGGCGTATCCTCCTTTGGAACCTTTCGGTGTCGGCCGCAACACGGATCCAGTATGACAAGCGCGCCTCCCTGGAGTCTTCGGACATGGATATGAACTGTACCTGGGCTAAGGGACTGTCAAAATGCACGCGACGCCGTTGTCTCTGTTGTTGTCGTTCGTCTCGGGTTTGCTCTTTGTCGTTCTTCTCCGGTCGTTCCCCGCATTTCTCCATTTCATCCAGCAGGCAGGCTTTCTCCTGTTTCCACTGGAGGCGCTAATTCTGCGCCATCTCTTTGAATGTCTCTAGATCACTGCTGCTCTGCCTGCGTCTTTTGTTTTGCTACTCTAGGTTGGCAGCATAGAGGCTCTGGGTTTTGTCCTGGAGGGAACACCTCTCCTCCTGCCACTGCTGCTCTGCCTGCGTCTGAGCAGCAATCAGCTGATTAGTCTCACAACAGCAGGTGTTGAGCTATTCTTCAACATTTGCCATTGTGGCCTTTGGTTTTGTTTTTCCAGGGTGGCTGTCAATTGCTGACACAAGATTTTGTCCTCCACCAAAGCTAATTAAGGTTCCGTCCCTTTTCCCCTGTTGGATCTTAGTTTTTTGCACCTCTTCTTTGTTTATTTCTTAGTACTCTTTCTACTCGGTTATACGGTACACAACTTTGGAAATCCTTTACTTCTCAAACTCAAATAGCTACTTTACTGTATGTGAACTTTGGCTCCAAATATAAAGTCTGTGTAACTCAGCTTCTAATGTTAAGTTTCTCATTGACGTCATCAGTTTAGCCCCTTTGATGTGCGTTCCCGTCCCGTTCTATACGTACTACGTAAGACGTAGTGGTTGCTATTGGATACCAAAAAGGAAATTAAGACATGCTAACTTTGACCTCGAACGCTTGCTATAACAATATGTAGCCTATATATAATAGGCGTTATGCCCAATCATCTTAATTAGATGCCAATGGTAATTGTTAAACTCTGTTTTACTAAGAGTTTCATTTAGCTTCAGTAATAAAGTTCAGTAGGGCTAGAGACATGGCTTTGTGCATTTGGTTTATGGACAGTAGGGACATGTCCCTACCAGTATTTTGGGAGGACAAAAATGTCCCTACCAAAATTTGAACAAACGTGCTCAAAATAATGTGCCTGACTGACTGAAAGGGAGGGGGCGAGCTAATGTGCACATTACGTACAAATGTCATAGTGTGCTGATAAGGGTGCGTTAAACGTTAAAGTTCGAAGCTTAAAACAATCTAATATGTTGTAATAAAAAAAAAAGCCACAAAACAAATCAGTTCTCCAGTTACTTTGAAATACAATGGCTAGCTGGTGGTTCCCTGCACAGACATCTTTCTCCACACTCCACGCTGCCTCAGATTCACTTGTCTGCTAAATGTCTATAAAACAAACATTTGGACTGTGTGACAAGAGCATCAGATATGTTATAAGCTATTCATTAAATGCAGAATGAATAGTCCAATGTTAATGTAACACATATAAACAACACAGCCACTTAACAATGCACAGCGGCTGTCCTTTCTGTGATGAAGCCTAAAGAAAACTTAACTTATTACACAATAACATATTGTGGCTATAATAGGAGGGGCCAAAAAAAACATATTTTCATCTCCTTTAAAATAATCCAGCCCATCCTTCTATCATTTGTTTTGTTTTGGTTGTGTGCAGCAGGCGGAGCCATAAGTTTAAAGGAA